GGCGACGGCAGTGGGGGAGGGGGCCAGCAGGGGGCGGCCGGGAAGTGACCCGACGCGTGGCGTGGCGCGTCGTGCTGTTTAGTTGGATTTTTTTTGCTGCTACGCCGTTTGGCGCATTTCATCATCGACTGGGGCGGCTGGCTGGTCGTTGGTACTCAGCTTGCACCGCGCAACGCGCCGCACCCTCATTCTCATTTGTGCTTCTCCCGTGCAATCTGCACGCCGTGCATGACCGGGTGTGCTGCCCAGCACGCTGGCTTGTGTAAGCCCTGGCCATTCCTTTGCCTCGCTGCGTGCGGGGACGGCAGGAATGGGCGCGGGTGCTGCATGTGAGGGTGAAGAGGTGTGCAGGCCGGCCCCTGATCACCAACGCGCAACCGCTCACCAGAGACGATCCGCGGAGGGATGCGGCAGAACACTGTGGCCAGCAAGGTGAAACCGGAGCCGTCCTCCTCATAGTGCCGTATGCTAGGCTGAGCTGTCAGGGTTGTGCGAAGGCTGCGGCCATGGGGTGTGTCAGCCACCCCGCCCCTACCAGAGGTTTGACCTGCGAGCTGATGACAGGTGGCGACGGTCAATGGGCATGAGACCCCTCTCCAGAGCCTTGTTGCACCCAAGATGCATGCTGCTCTGAGGATCGTCAGTCAACAACCGGCTGAGGCAACCCCAAGGTTGGAAAGGTGTGCTGGAGGGTCGCTCTGCCATGGCAGCTGAGCAGCAAGGTGGAAGCAGCGGCGCAACGCACATCCTATCACCCCGATCCGTGCGTCGTGTTTCATTTTTAGGTGATAAGAATTACGCAAGCACAAGCGTGCGACAAGAGCTGCAATTTGCTACAGACCGCGCGCTGGCCCAGGCTGAACAACCCACTGGCCCAATAACGTTGGGGGAACCGGCACGGTGCCTGATCGCTCGCCGGCAAGTCTTTTTGATCGAGGCAATCGATCGGGAGGAGTGCAGGCACGCGTACAGGATGGACGCGCTGCTGGCAGTCGAGGCGCGACTGGATGGGGCCGAGGAGGCAGACAGTCCCGCCCACTCGCCTCAAAAGCTACCATCTGCAGTAGTGGACTCCCTGGAGTTTCCTGCAGACGATGACGGGCCTGGGGAGGTGGGCTTCCATGCCAGCAAGAAATCAAACACCCTGAAAAAGTACTACAAGAAGCTGTTCAAGAAGCCCAAGGACAAGGAAAAGCATCATAATGGCGATGGGGACAACATATGCAGCCCCGGCCGTGGCGCAGGGACGAGCCCGCCTCCGCTGACACCCGGGCAGCAGGCGCAGCGCGCGGCACCGCCGCAGCGCGCAGGGCTATGGGAGCAGCAGCAGCAGCAGCAGGTGGAGCACCAGCAGGACCAGCAGCAGCTTGCGGCTGTTGTGACAGCTGGAGCCAGCGACGGCGGCCACGAGGCCGGCGAGGAGGGTGATGAGGTCACTAGTGCCGCGCTGCCCTCCTACGCCGCCCCCGGCCCCTCGGGCTCTGGCGCCGCCTCCTCCGGCCCCTTCAGCGCCCCCGGCGCCCGCTACGTACCCGGCCGCGCCGAGGGCACGGGCGGCGGGCGCCACGAGTACGGCGGAGACGACGGTGCGAGCAGCGTGAGCGGCATGGACAGCCGCATGAGCACCTACAGCAGCGGTACTGCCGGCATGTCTGGGACGATCAAGGGGTTCCTTGGGCCGCGCAAGAAGAGGAACAAGCAGTATGAGCTGGACGCACTCAGGTGCTTGTGATCTGGGGCGCCGGGGTTGGGGTGGAGCAGGTCATATTGGCCGGGGCAACCCGGTCGCAGTGCGGTTGGCGGGGAGCGGCGGCGGTTAGCATCCCGGCGGCGGTTGCGCGCAGGATTGGTGCCGCAAATTGATGCAATTGTTTTGCAGGCGCTCGGCTCGTCCCCAGTGCGGTGTTGGGATGTCGCGGCGGCAGCATTGAGTGTGTGGCCAGGGCCGTGCACCCTGCACTCAGCTTTGGCCATCACACTGCGTTGTTGGGCGGGCAGTTGTAGGCAAGCCTGCCACGCACCAGCTCCTCGTGAAGCACCAGCCTCCCCATGACCCTGCCGCCAGGATGGAGATGGAGATGCTGCAGGAGCGCTGCAGCGCCGCGGAGAACAACCTCAGCAGCGCCAGCCACGACGTCAACGCGCTGCGCGCTGACAGGGACGCGCTGCAGCAGCAGGTGCGGCGCGGGCGCGCGTCGCTGGGGCCGACGGTCGCGGCAGCGTGACCGCGGCGACGATTCAGGAGTGATGATTGCAAAGCGGTCTTGAGATTGCCACAGACACCGTATTGCCCACAGTCGTTGGAGTTGGCTGCAGCCTCCACGTGCAGCAGCATTCGCCATGCGACGAGAGAGTGTGCAGCCGCCACACTCCAGTTTCTCCACTGAAAGCGAGTGCGCCGCTGCGGCCGCTGTCCCCGCCGCCGCTGCTTCGTGGCCCCCCTTCACAGCTGCGTGAGCGCACCGCAGACCTGACAGAGGCGCGCGCTGCGGCGGCCAAGGCGGAGGAGGAGGTGGCGCGGCTCAAGACGCTGCACTCGCAGGTGCGCTGCTGTGCATGCATGGGCCACCGGAGGGGGGAGGGGCGCAGTGGCGTGGCCGCCGCTGTCCAGTGCCGGCTAGCAGGGGCGGCGCGTCGGGCGGGTTGTGGAGAGCGATCGCTCCTGCACATGCGGCCGGGGGCGGGTGCTGCGCCGCAACCCTTGCTTCGCGGCCCGGCTGCGGCGGCGACCCCGCCGAAGATGGTCGCGCGCGGTGGCCTGTGTGCCCACTGGTTGCGTGCTCACGTGCCGCCCCCCGCCCCCTTGTGTCAGGTCAAGGGTGCGCTGCAGGGGGCGTACAGCCAGAACCAGGACCTCAGCAAACAGGTTGGAGGGAGGAGCGTTGCCCCGCTTCAAACGCAAGGAGGGGGTGCACCGTCAGCGCGCCAGCAGTCACGCCGCACGCCGCTGCAGTGGGCAGATGGCAGCGCTGCTGTCGCACAGGCCCCCTTGAAGGGGCGGTTTGTTGCGATCATGTTGCATCTGCTCAGACCTTGCACGTCGACCCTGGAACCATCATCTCGCCCGCCCATCTGGCAGAGTCACTTGTGGGGCACCCGCCATCAGCCCCTGAGCTGCCACCCTGCCCTGCCCTTCCCCCTCTCCGCCCAGATCGCCGACCTGGAGTCCCTGTGCTCAGCGCAGCAGGCCAGCCTGGAGGAGGGCGAGGAGCGCTTCAGGGGGCTGTCTGACGCCCACGACGCGCTCAGGCACGCGGGGCTGCAGGCCAAGGCGCAGCTCGTCACTGCGCAGGCGCAGGTGCGGGGAGGGCGCGGCGCACGCCGCGCGGCGCGGCGCTGGCCCACACGTTCTCGCGAATGCATTCAAAGCAGCGGCGTCAAAGGGGTGCTGTGAGCGGTCGCCCTGAACCGGCCTTGGCGCGACCGCCAGTGGTGGGTCGCAATTACGGATGCCTGCTCCCCTCGCGCCTCTCCTGTGTGTTTCTCCTGCGCAGGTGAGTGAGCTGCGTGCGGCGCGCGAGGAGCTGGGGGAGCGCGTGGCGGCGCTGGAGCGCCAGGCGGCCGGGCTCAGGGCGGAGCTGGAGGCGCGCGCGCAGAGGTGTGCGCGGGGCGGACCAGAGGGGTCATCAGGATTTGTGCGGCAGCGGGGAACGCAGGGATCGCTACGAATGGGGCCAACACGCAGCTGGTCCTCGGCGTGTGGCTTGGGGCACGTTAGCCTGCGAGGCCGGGGGGTGGGTCCGCCTCGCGGCAGGGGCGCGGTCGACTGCTCGGTTGACCCCAAAGGCGCAACGGGCCAGGGTCACCCTCGCTCATC